GCGGTGGCGCGCTGATGTCCTTCTTTTAAGGGTCAGGAATGTCAACTCCCGTGATGTCATGCTGCCTTCCACCACCTCCAACGCACGCGGTAACAAAGGGGACTTCCGTCTGCGACGCCTGCGGTCTTTGCAAGGAGACTGGGAAACACCAGCTACCGGGGACACCAATGTGAGCCCTTCGCTGACGTCCATCTCCGGTGAATTCCTGCTAGTACGCGTACCATTGCCTGCCGTCACGTGGGTAGCTGCACCGGAGGATGACGGCTGCATTCCTTGGAAGGAAGGCAGGTTTTCCGTGGATGACGGTTGCAGTTGTTCCAACTGCGATGATCGCGCGTAAAGCTGCACATCACTGTGACTTGCGAGCAGCTCACGCACGCATGCAAACACGCCCATGGTGCGCTGAAACTCCTCGGTGCCCATGCTCAGGATCTACGTTTCCAGAGCAGCAAACATATCCCAAGTGATGCGAATTTTCGCCGCCCGGTCAAGAACTACATCACTCGGACATCTCACCGGCGCCACCGTCAACGTCCCTTCCCTATCCTCCGAAAGCACCGGCGCAGATGTACTTATCGCTGGCAATACCCAACGGCAACCACGAAGCACATCCTCCTCATGGTACGCGTGGAGGCTTGCCACGTGAATAATGTGCGCACATGGAATGCGCCACTGCTGATTAAATCTGCATCCGCAAGCGCTGCCATTTCCGATGAAGACACGTTGCACCCCAATGCGCTCGTCTTCCACCAGCCAAAAACCACCGCCTTGGTTCACGCTGCGAATACGAACCCGAACACTGTGCCACGCGTACTGCCGCCGGGCGTAGGACGAGAGCCTGCGCAAAATCACGTCCCCAATGCTGACACCGTGCTGTACCTCGCATACACCCAGTTGATCTCTGACAAGCAGTCTTTCCCTCTCCTCAATGATGCTACTGGCACGATGCACTATCACCTGAAAACAGGTGAAGTAGCGTTGACCGCTCGCTCAAGGTTTTTTCAGATGCTTATTCTCATTTTCAATGCGGTTCGTGCTGCCGCATCCAAATAAAACTACATGGCCCATCAAATGCGCCTCCCAGCTAAGCCGCCATGGGATCCATGTACGACGGAGGTATTGGAAGCAGTCCGCGCTCCGCAGGGATATCCGTTCCATAATCCGATGGTAATGCGCGCAGTCGTACGTGTACAACAACGACCGCAGCATGTTGAATACAGCTCTTTTATCTTCCATGTTACACAGCGGAAGGTGTGAGCAACGCCGCCGCATGTCACGCATAATGTGTACCCTGCAGAAAACAATGTTCGCATTGGGGTCCGCATTCCGGAACGCATTCACCTTGCGCGGTGCACTTGTTCATCAACAAAGTCTGAGCACCGGCAACCGTGGGGGCCAAATCCAACATACCACTCACTGCCTCCTCGTAAGCAACCTCCGTCTCATTAGGCAACAGCGCATAAAAGAAACTCATATCCAAGCCGCTAACGTCCACAAACATGCAATGCCACAGGATGTAGCAGCCGTAATTGATCTGATACGTGGAGTCCGCCAAAATTCCAAATTTGAGGTCATCCGCAAACAGTGCACACGGCGACCGTAGAAGCTGGTGCAGCTCGTTGATGTGGATGAGAAACAGAGTGGGTCCCAATACCGTACCTTGAGGTACACCACTGGTCGAGGGATACCAATCGGTTAGATGGCCGTCCACCTGTACCCTCCCACTTTCTTCCAACGAGAAATTCATGGATCCATCGATGTAACGATCCTCCGACACCACACGACCTTAATCTGTCTAGAAGCAATTCATGATTGACTTTGTCGAATGCTTTGCTGAAGTCGATGTAGATTACGTCGACGGACTTTCCCCGGTTCAGTGCTTGCAACCATTCCTGTCTCGTCACAAGTAAGTTTGTAACACAAGAATATCCCATCCTGAATCCGTGTTGTGCCGGTGTCAGAAGTTCTTTCGATTGCAACAGATGTATTAGACGCTTTTTTACTATCTTCTCGATCACTTTGGCCAAAACGGGTGTAAGACAAATTGGCCTGTAGTTATCCACCTTACTGGGGTCGCCACCTTTCGGGATCGGCCTCACCACCGAGCGCTTCCAGTCGTTTGGCAATGAGCCCTCAGACAATGATTTGTTGAATAGATCCGTAACCAGCAGGCGAGATAATGGCAGCTAGTGATTTGATAATTAGCGGATGAAGCCCGTCAGGCCCTGCAGGCTTGGTACCGTCAAGGTTCGCAAGTAGCAGGCGCACCTCGTCGACATCACAAACCAAACTGTTGAGTTCTACAGGAATGTTACTCGCTGAGATGGGTATGGACGCCGCGTCGTTTGCAAACACGGAAGCGAAGTGAGCGGCCAGTGCGGACGCGCGATCGGAACTGGAAGTTAGCAGGTGTCCGTCCGCGTCTTCCAGACATGACACGTCACCTTTTGGCTTCAAACGGCGTTTCACGTAAGCAAAGATCTTCTTTGGGGCCATCCTCGCGTCAGTTGCAAGCTTTTCTTTCGAACTTCCGGCGCTTTATCAATTTCACTTTGTTGCAAATATTTCGCTGTCTTTTATATGCTTCGTAATCAGTGGCGGAGCCAGAGAGGCGAAATGCGTCCCACATTCTTCGCCGTAACCCGAGCCAGCCTACCATATTCCTTGTCGAACCAGTGTGGTTTGATTGGTCCGACTTTCTGAAATTTCAACGGCACAAACTGAGAACAAAGCGAAGCCAATCCTTCCTTTATTACTGTCCAACCGTCCTCCACAGATGTAACATGCGGTAGAGAGACCAATCCATTTGGCTCGCTGCTCGATTTAATCCATCGAAATCAGTTTTCCAGTAGTTGTTAGGCTGGTTCCACCGGAGATACACTCGGCAAGTTCAGTTCCATAGTGGCTATCAGCACGGAATGGTCGCTTTTAGCTAGGGGCTCCTGGATTCGTATGTCATGCAACCGCTGTTTTGCAATTTGTCACCATCAAATCAAGGCACGATGGGTTCGAACGCGCCGTCATGCGCGTAGGTTGGTATATGTGTTGCGATGCCCCAGTTTCAAGCAACAAATCTAACAAATCTTTGATTCGTACTTCAGTATGACCAGGGCCTGTAGGTGGAGTTTCGATGGCACCATTGAATGTGGGAGTAACTCTGAATTGATAGCTTACAATCCACATGAGTAGAAAACTCGATGGACGGACTTACATGGGTGTTCTCAGAAGATGCGGTGCTCATGCTTAAAAGGCGGCTTTAAGAGAGGGCTCGGTACGGATGCTCATTACTGTCAGACTTAGGACCTGAGCCCTGAGGATTGATCGGTTGAGCACCTTACCTGTTAGCACACTGGTCACATCTTCATTCTTCGGTTACACGCCTTACAAGCCTCCCCTCGCAGGGATAGGACCGATATAAAAGTGTTAGATCCCTCATCTCACGAGGGATTTGATTTTTTCGTATCGCTGCGAATGACATGAGGTAGCCACTTCGAGATATCGACGTCATCTGCCTATTTACCTCGCATGAAGCTTCAGCCTTGTCTCCGCCAGTCCTATCGAGAATCAGATGAAAAAATAAGTATCCATATAACATATAACGTCAATTGTTCATTTGTTCTCCGATCTTGGCGGTTTTCTCGCAAACGTTTCACCACCATGCGAGGTGGCATCCTCAGTGCAGTGATATGGAGCGTGTAAGTTTACTAAATGAGTCCTCCATCCATGATCGACCTGCAGGTGACTTTGAACGTGGCAGTGTCGATTTAGGTCCCGTGACCTCCACCCACTTCCCCAAGGCTAAAGTCGGCGCCCGAGTTGTTCTGTCTCAAACCGCGTGACAAAAGGTTCTTTAGGTCTTTCTGTGGTAGTGGCTCGTATACTGAATCGATGTCCATGTGCATGTTGATTGAATGTTTCGTTGAAAACCAAGCTTCCAAGAATTCTCTTTCTTTTCTTGTTTCACCTCGTCCCAGGACTTCTGCTTTGCTCCAATCGAAGCTATGTCCTTCTTCATCTACATGCATTGAAACTAGCGACGATGCATAATGCTTTACACAGGCTCTCTTGTGTTCTTTTATCCTTGTTACCAATTTTCTTCCCGTCTGGCCAACATAATCCCTTTCGCAATCTCGGCAAGGTATTTTGTATACTACATTGCGTTGTTCATGTGCTTGCAGTGTTTCTTTTGGTTTTGAAGGGTTTTTCTCAACGTGGCAGTTGGTTTGTGTGCTACGATGAGATGATGCTGTTTGAATAGTCTGACTGCCATATCCGATATGTTGTTCATATAAGGCAGAACAACCCGTTTCTCCGTTGTCGTTGTTGTTGCCGCTGCCGCTGTTGTTGTGCTTGTTGTCGCCGCTGTTGTTGTTGTTGTAGGCTGTATGTTGACGTTGTTGTGATTCAGACACCTTCGGATGAAGCTTCGTGGGTATCCGTTGAGTTGAAAACATTTAAATAGGTGCTTTTCCTCCTTTTGCTTTGCATCTGTGCTACTGCATTGTGTTCGCACTCTACGAAACAGTGTCCGCACACAGCTTACTTTGTAGTATTTCGGGTGGCTGTTGTTAAAGTTCAGAATTTGATCTGGATGTGTGTCTTTCTGTACACCGATGTTTGCAGCTCACCTTCCATGGTTCATGTTACTAATACGTCCAAGAAAGGGAGCTGGCTTTCCTTCTCCGGTTCCATTGTAAATCGGATGCCTTCCATGGCGTTATTCAATAGCTGTTGTGCGACTGTGTTGTTGTGTTGTTGCGACTGTGCGACCGCCAAGCTCGGAGAACAAATGAACAATTGATTCATCAACCCGAGCTACCAGTATTTCGAAACATTTTAAACATATAACGTCTTTATCATAGTTCCGCCATTGTTTAACAGTTTTAAGTGACAACTATTGGCCTACCATATTCGCCAGTATTACGTCTTCACTGTTACGAAACAAGGTAACGTCGATGTTAAATATTAAGGAAACAGATGTCCCAGTTAACTGCATTGCTATGAGCGAACCAGTCAGGAATGAGATTAGATTAGTTATACTGGTTTGGTCACCACACAATTCAGCTGAACACTTTGAGATTGATAAACCAAGATTTTTCAGCATAGTTGTTCTTTACCTTCCATTTGTTTACTCTGTTTCAGCAATCAGCTTAGAATGTTTCGAAAAGGCGCGATCAGGCAAGCCGTTGCTCCCACTGACGGGAGTTCAATGGGGTAAATGTGCAGCATTTCAACGTTGTAGACGAGTTGTTCAACCCGATGTTGGTGCTGATGGAAAAAAGCAAACTTCCATATTGAACACTAATGGACGCGGATGCGTCGGATTACCTGAAGGATTTGCCTTGCTCTATTGCGAAACGGACAGCGCGTTCAGAGATCGGTCGTCCTTAGCACGGTTGAATTACTTGCGACCATGGATCACGCCACGATACAAGCCCACTTGGCCGCCCAGAGATGAAGAAGCACAAGAAAGACAGCAACAACACCGCCAACAGCAGCGACAATTTGTGAATGGAAAACCTCATCCAACTAGTGTGGTTGTTTTGCCGCCACTGGAAGTACAGGAGACAACGGATTCAAAAGTGACGTGTGAAGAATCGAGACGCAACTCAGAAATGCCAGACAATAAGTCTCTTAAGCAAAGCGCACCTGTAATAAAACGAAATAGGGCGTATTGCCTATCTGAAAGGAGCTTGCGAAGAAATGACCTTAAAATGACCATTGATACTTTTAAAAAGGAGACCAGAAAGCTTCCAATGACCACGACGTGGGACTCAAGGGAATCGAACGAAATTCCTGTGAGTACCCCGGGGGCACAATTCGTGAAAATCCCATCTAGCCATGAACAAATAGAAGATAAAATGGAGGGAGAATCTTACTCTGAAACTGCGCAGTTTTCGACTCCCGAAACAATCAGTAATTTAAACTGTGAACTGTGCATCCCAAAGGCTAAGAACGGTTGCACCAGAAACGTCGATGCCGTTTCGCAGGTCAAAACTAACGGTCGCACACAGCTGCCGATGGCAACAGTACAGCTTTTTAGCACAGATGGCGAACAGGACGAGGATTTAGCTCGGTCACAGGCGTTAATCAAGCGGCAACTAACTTCTGGTTCCAAGCCATCTGTGACCTCAGTAACAATCTTAAAACGAATGCAGGGAAAAAACAAGCAAATGGTAACTACAGACCGTGGTTCGTAACTGAACGCTTAAGCTTCTCATTCCAAAGATCACTTGTCTATTGAATGTAATCAGTAACCGACTAGTTCTCTGGATGTACAAACTTGTTTGCAAACACTTTTCTTGCTAAGAACGGAAGATAAAAATTTTCTAGTACCCTTGGTATACCATTCCTGGTTTGGATAAATAAACTGTTACTATTGTAACACCAACTGTATTGCCATTGCATTTAAAGCCAGGAGCGACAGTAAAGAGGGGCAGATGACAAAACAAAGCAGGCCGACCAGTCCAAGATTATCTCAAACATCTTCAGATTTGTTGACTAAGTGTACCAGCTATAGACAAAGGATGGGATTGTACCTTACTTTATCCACTCATACGTTGGCAGTTTTTTAAGTATTTTAATTCAGTTTGGATATTAAAGCAAGAATATTTATCACAACAACCCAGTCAGAAAGCAGACTATTTCATCCGGTAAACATCCGGTCCGGGAGACAGAACTAAGGGAGGTGGGCAGAAAATGGTGCTGTTAAACCGTGGTTCCAGAACAGCAAGTAAAAAACAAGTTAACGCAATTTTTTGGCCTTTTTTATTGTAGGATTGTGTCAAGCTCACTTCCTATCAGAACGCTTTGGAGCCTGTGCATTTGGATACCGAAAACCACTGATTCTACCTGCAGTACGCCAAAATTCGCGGAACGATAAAAAGCGGACAAGCAATTATTGCGTTGCAACCCCGCATTCAAAGCAGAGACTAGGTTTTTAACCACTTGGATCTCAATGAGCAATGAACAGTGACATCCGGGTTAAGTAGCTGTGTCTTATAAATCCCACTGGGTGGTCTGTTTGGGTTATTGAAACAAGCAACTTAAAAAACAATAGTTAAAAGACAAAAATTAGGACTTACCGTTAGGGATATGCTGTGGGCATGCACCCACGTGGTATTAACTACACCCACAGTTGACAGCTAACAATTCCAAGGTAAATATCAGGCATAGAATGGAGATATAGAGTTAAGTAAAATATATAGGTGGATGGGTGCGTCATCCAACTGTCTTTTAAATTAGGCTAGGGTCGGTGCAGAAACGACCGATTCAGGGAGAGCAATTCACGGTAACACACCCGAGTAGAAAAGAAAATCAAGCAATCGGGGCCTTCAGTTACTCCCATTGGACCCAAAATATATAGAGAGGGTGAAGCTGTACTTACACATTCTCCACGCGTTTTGTGCAGAACAGCTGAACATCCGAGCTCAAGCCAAACTGCACAAATAATCATTAAGAGACCAGCTAGTGTACCATGGATAATCTGCACACAAATTCCAGAATCAGCGTCAAATTCCTAACAAGAAAACAAATCGATAACAGGTACCAGTGGAACTATATATGTGACATCATGGTTGTTGTAGCCTAGTCCAAAAACTTGACACGCATCACTTGTCACCCAAACTCAGAACATTTCGGTGAACCAAGAATTCACCGAGTTGTACCGACTAACGCCGATGAAGCAGAAGCAGCTCCGTTATCGACAGCTCGCCTCCGGAATGAGTTATGTTCCATCCGTATTTTTCCGGATATTCCGTGGAGCCAGCGTAAACAGCTGAAGCACGACTTGAGAGAATACCGAAAGGAATACGTACTCAGGACCATCTTTGAACACGGTGTTCTCGATGCTGGCAGACAAGATGAGCGCGAACTAACAACCCACGACCATGATCAGTAGCATTACATTTGAGAGACCATCTCCTTTGAAAACGTCATAGCGCAATCCATCTCTAGACTGTACGGAGTGGCAAGTTACAAAGGATGTGACCTGCGGATTGTGAAACTGGTGCTTCAATCCAGACAGATGTCAACAAGAGTATTGGAGTGTGGTGTGCGGATCGCAGAAGCTTTCTTTCCGAGCTCCGGATCAAAGCAGCGTCCCCTAAATAAATACACGAGAGCAGCAATTTCGTCGAACCACTTCCCGACAACGGTTCGGAAAATAACACACGGCTAACCGACGAAACTGGTGAACACACTCCACACATTACATACAAAATGAGGTGCAGGGTAATGGCGGGATTTCTAAATCTGCCACAGTAGAGTTCGTTATCGCCCTACCCATTAGCTATTCGTGGCCGACTTTCCATCGGTCGGCGAGACGTTATACCCAAAACACACACCCACCGACACACCATAGAGAGCATGGGCACCAGAGTACAAGACCTCCTAAACAAGATTACTGCACAGCGGCTGCGTCAAGGATCTTATGCCTGGGACCTCATATTCGCAAGTGAAACATGGTTTCACCCAGAAATTACAGATACTGAAGTCAGGATATATGGCATGTCTCTTATCTGAAACGATCTCTGTAGCAAGGGCGGTGGGGTATAACTATACTACTGCAGTGACCTGCATTGCGAACTGTTGGACAATGCGGAAATGCTGCTTATAGGAGCACTCTGGTGCAGTCTGCGACTGAGGCATAACGACACTTGATAAGAAATATTTATCTTCCCCCAATACCCACCACCAGGATGGACGACCCTGATATTAGCCTCGGGGTGGGTCCTGCTACGACGATACTGCCATGTTCTCCTCGCAGGTAACCTTAATGTTCACGGTTCGCAAGTTTAGGCATCCCCCAACGGGCACTTTAAGGTCGACCTGCAAGGGCTTATTGCAAGCAAATCGCACTTCAAGCATGTCAGTTCGCTCACCCGATTCCTAGCTGAAAATAAACCATATATGCTTGATTTACTGCTCACGAACGTAGATCTCATGATGGAATAACCAAAGATGGACAGCCCTCTGTGGCTAGGTGTTCACGTAACAATGATTTACGGCTATGTGCGTTTTGTGGAGCATTCACATGAAAATATTGACTCGTTTAGGACAATCACAAATTAGCAGAACTTAGAGCATTCATCCTAAAGTTTTTAGTAGACTGTTCTATCACTATAGCATGGATGGAGTTTGCTGGGTTAGTTCAGCGTTCTGATTAAATCTGCGTCGGTGAACAGGCTCTTAGTTCTGCAAAAGCGCCATCATTCATTTGGAGCCGAACCCGAAAACGCATGGCGGTAATTGCGCAACATGACGTGTGTACAGAGCTAGCCCTAGCCCTGACAACTGGAGCAACCACACTTGTCCGCGAGGAAGAATGTGTACACCAGCAGAGCCAAGTAGTAAGGTTTAGTGCTCATAACAAGCTTCTGTACAAACTTGCGAACAGCCTAGAAAATGTGAAGCGTGGTGTTTCTCCTTTCATGTCAGCAAATGGATGTGCTTGAACCGCCGAGGATGCAGCCAACATGCTACGGCTCCAATGTTCCAATGCGCCACCAATATGCATCACATACCCGTCCCATTCTCACAGACGCCAGTGTTTACAAACGTCACTGTTAGTTTAGCGACCGTTTTATGTTAACTGATATCATTGTGCACCCCTAGTTCTCCCTGTGCGATCTGCTTCCACTAGGGAAGCTAGGGCGAAGGGCAGCTAAAAACGTAAAAGAATTTTTTCATCTTTCCTAACATCTGTGACTGCAAGCTCTGAAAGTGTACAGCGGAAGACTTCGCCATGTACGCGACAACCTTATTCTGGCTTACCAGATCTTGAAAAACCCCGCGCACGCTTGCCGTTACGTCCCGAAACAGTCGCAACACAACACTAAGTAGTCACCAGCTGAAGCATGCTACCCAATACAGTCAGCTAGAATGCCGCCGGAATCATGTTTTCCTTAGTATTTGTCAACCGTGGGACGCCCTTTCGACTTTCCTTATTTCCGCGCCCGTGTTACCTATTATTAAAAATGAACTGACGATGCATTCCAGCATCTGCATTAATTGATTTGAATGCTGTCCATTGAGTGCCGACCATACGCAGACACAGTGCTCACCTGTTAACATGGATTACATCATGAGCCCACAGACGCAAATTTCACTTCAGTGTAGGTTCTTTGTTGAAATTACGTACTTCACACTAAACATCCCACGGGACCTGTCAAGCCTTGGCTTTTCATCCGTACTATATCATTGTTCCTCTGTGCTGCGACACTATGGACGGCCACACTGTTCTGTCATTTCCATTGGGTGACATCTGCTGAGTTGCAGTAAGGAGTGGCACACATGATGTGCCATAATCAGACCACATCATAGTCTGTGATATCGTCCGTTGAATACTTCCAATTGTTCCAGCTTCTGCTCGTATAGGAGACTGCGTATTCCAATGAGGTAGTTAGATGCCCGACATTGAGGCTGCTCCTGCGCAATCAGGTCGTGTTTCAGCCATGGATGCCAGGCTTGAATGGTGTATTCGACATGGGGGCGAACATACCCACTGAGCAGCTATCGAAAAACGGTGCTATCAGTTTGTCCGAACGCTCCTTGCAACAGCCAGACTTGTTGGTTTCCAGCCCTCGAGGTCTTTTCGGATTGCCTGGAGCAACCTGCGTTATCTTGAACTAGCCCACCCAAATCACATTCGACGGACGATTGCTACGTTACATGCATTCCGATCCTGTATAGACATTTGGTCTGGTGTCATAAAGAGAGTACGTTGCATTCACTCAAGTTGAAAGACAGCACATTTTTTGATTCACCACCGATGTACCGATTCTAAGTCACTCTGAAGCAGACGCTAGTCAGCGTTCACCGGAATCTCGTGCCAAAGCTTGATGTCGTCGTCAAACAGTAGGAATATTACAGTGATTGCTTGTGCGAGATTATTAATTAACAACAAAACAATTGTGGGCCTAGAACTGAGCATTACGGAACACCACACTTGACTTGTATGAGGTCAGATAAAGAACACCGAACCCTGACGACTAATTGTCGTTGAAGGAGAAAGTGGGCGATCCAGCTTAGAAATGGCTCCCCGATCCCGCAACACTGGAGTTTGAAAAGGAGTATTCGGTTACCTAGACGATCGAATGCTTTCGAAAAATCTTGGTAGACCACGTCAATATCTTCTCTGGCGTTAGCTTACTCGGTCCAACTACTCCCCACGATGAGTAAATTTGTTGTGCACAATCGCTGCCGACGGAAGACGTGCCGTTCGGGAGTAATAAAGTTATAGTTTTCCAGATAGCAAGCCAGTGTATCGGCAATGATGGATCAAATGAACCTTTACAGTACTGGAAAAAGATATAATGGGCAGTGGTTTGAGGGTTTTGTCCTGCTTCCACGTCTGCGAA